ATGACAACTGGTAAAAATCATGGCATGGGATGACTGACCACAGGAGCTGGGCGATACCAATGTCATCGGATAGAACAAACATTTGACAACAAATAAAGAAGATATTGGTGAGTTGTGATTGAAATTTACTGACAAACACATTACACTTAATGATAACACAGGTGTTGTTTTTTACCTTAGACAATACCTCAAAAAAAGTATGGAGCTGCAGGATTAAGTAAACGAGTTACGTTTGATGTTTCATGTGAAAATGTTCCTTGAAGTCTCTACTTGACATGACAAGTGAAACAGATGAGTAGCGGGTATAACCGCCACGTGCCCGGATGACACATTCCGCCCAACGTCTCATGCTTGCATCCAGTCAGACGTTGGATCTGTTGATGGGTCAACAACAACAACCACTCCTGATGCAATGCTGCTTCCAACTGGCGTAAATCTTGTACAGGAGGATCTCGTGCCTGTATGTGCTGCCCCAGAATATCCCAAGCATGTTCAAGGGGGTTCAATTCTTGGCTCATTGCTGGCCAGGATAGAGTCGTTTTTGCATTGGCCCATGTAATCCACGACTGCATGCGAACGATGAGGCCTGGCATTGTCAACCATCTACTGAGGTCGGGTAGCAAGAGGGTGGTTGTCAAAATGAGGAACGACAAAAATGGCCTCAAAACGCTCCGGATGTACTGACCCCCTTGTAAAGTTGCCCCTTATGGTGACCAAATCCTACCTGCAATCATCAGAGATACATCCCCAAACCATTACCGAGCCCCCGCCATATGCAACAGTCGGTTTAATGTTCCTGGGGTTGTAGGCCGTGTTCCGGTGCTTCCGAACTCTCGTTCTTCCATCAGTGACGTGGAGCAGAAAGCGACTTTCGTCTGATCAATGGATCCGTCTGCAAGTTCTCAGATTCCAGTTCTGTTCCGCAATACACCATGCTAAACAAGCAGCTTTGTGGTGATATCTCAACAAGGGACGCTTTATGACTCGCCTAGCCCTTAGTCCTGCTGCTTTCAGTCTGTTCCTGACGGTTCTGGTGCTGAAACGACGATTGGGCAACCACAGCTGTTTCAGACGAGTACATGTTAAAAAGGGTTCTCGGCGTATGAAGGTCCCTGTCTTCGCGATGTGTCGTCACATGAGGTCTTCCGGATCTGGGACGGTCCTGTACATCACCGGTCTGAGCATGTTTCTCGACTGAACGGCTTACGACAGTGTGATGATACCCCAAGTTCCGACCAATGGCTTTACAAGACATTCCTGCGTTATGCATGCCGATTATTTGCCAACTTGTGGAGTTTGATAGTCGCCTTCGTGCCATGGTCACACAATGTCATGGAATGACCGCTTAAATTCGAGCTTAAGGAAGCAATTTTATCGTTTGGATATACTGCTTTTAGAGATACTCGAGGGTAGCATGCTGCACGGGCTTACCATGCATGGCACCTGAGCTTTCGTCTCGAGAAAACATAATTCTTCCAGTAATTACTAGCATATCAAATATTGGGACCAAACAATAATGAAATATATGAGGCTGTGCTTAACTGTTTTCTTTGTGTATATGAGAGTAAATTTGTATTCTTGTTGATATACCAAAGGATTTGTTAATGACTTTTTTAGCTGGGCGCGAGTGAGATCTACCTCTGGCGTATGGCTAGAAGTCGATAAGGAGAAATGGTATCAAGATTTATTTTAGCAGCTGTGGTGAATTCTGATTCCAAGCGGTGGAACCAGGTTTGGCAAGTTTCGAAACAGCAACCGTTTGAATATTAGCTTCAAGTGAATCAGGGCTATGGATTATGCTCTGCCTCACCAGGTTGGAAGAACATCCAGGAGCTTTTTCACCGTGAGGGGAAAAGAAGTGGTAAGAACTGTACTGACGGATATCAAATTGATCTGTTTTTTAGGAGACAAGTTTCTTGAAGACAAAAAGCTGACTGTTTAAAATCTTGAATCAATAGCTGTATTTCATTAAAATTCTTCTTAAGACCTCTGCAATTCCATTGTGTTATATTTTGAGGACCCATGGTGCCTTCACAAGAGAAATGTCACGCGGACGTGAGGAAGACTTTGTTGAACTCCTATTTGTTTCATGTGAAGATGGAGTTACCTCCGTTACCAGAGATGAGGTGAGGTGAAATTGGGTTTAGGTGAGGTGAGGTAAAATGGGGTTTAACGTCGCGTCCAAGATTATTGGACTTATATAGCGACGTGCATGCACATGCGCGCGTGCGTGCGTGCCAGCGTGCGCGCACTAGTCCGGACTGATGCTGATTAATAGTGCTAGCACACTGAGATACCATGCCGCAGTTTAACATGAATGCCCCACTCAGACACAGTATACGGACTACGAGCCGACCAGTCCTTGTTTTAGTCCCTTTATGCCGATCGCCAGACAGGGTAACAACAAGTACCATCTTTTAACGTCTTTTGGTATGACGCGGTCGGGGATTGAAGCCCGGACCTTGAGCTCTCCGGGCGGACACTCTACCACTAGACCACGGAGGCGGTCCCATGTCCAGAGGACCAAAGGGATTATGGACCTCTATGAAGAGCAGAGGTTGCATTTGCTGGTGTTGTTTGCAGCTGCTCTTATTTCTGCTTTTGTTTAAATCATTTTCCTTCCTTCTTTGTAAGATGAACACATTCTTTTGGGGGGTTAAGTTACTGGTTTTGGAGTCTATGAGACTTGACATTTTCTACAGTTTTTGGTTTTCGAGGTGTTACAGCTGTTTTTTTCTAGTGAAGCAGAAGGCAAGGCAGAACAGACTTGACAACAGCCTTTATGAAGAATCACAACATCCAGGCCCAGCTATGGCCCTCAATGTCTCCAGAATTAAACCCAATCGAACATTTATGGGGTGCACTGGATCAACGACTGTGCACGTCACAACCACATAACCTTCGACAGTTGTCATAAGCACCACAGGAACAGTGAGTGAACATCCCCAGGCCACAATTCGATATCTGATTGCTTCCATTGGACGAGATGCCAGTTTTGGACTCTTAAAGTGCCCATACAAGATGCGGAGCACAGATGACCTTCACCTTGAAAATCTACTGTTCCATGTGTGCTATATGGAACCTGGGTCAATGAGAATTTGTGCGAATTTTGAACATCTGTTGCCATCTGTTGTTTATTTATATGATATAAAAAATATACATCCAAAATCACTTTTGCAAATCTTTTCATTTTGCATAGCATATAATCTGCCAGATAAAAGATTAAGTCTACTGTCTCGGAAATGGCTTGCACTGATTGGGGTGAGTGAGTGAGTGAGTATGGTTTTTCGCTGTTTTTAGCAATATTCCAGCAATATCACGGCGGCGGACACCAGAAATGGGCTTCACACATTGTACCCATGTCAGGAATCGAACCCGGGTCTTCGGCGTGACGAGCGAACGCTTTAACCACTAGGCTACCCGACTGCCCCTTGCACTGATTGGAACGGCCAGGAAGAAAACCAACCGACACGACCTTCTTTGGGACTGTTCGTTGAGAGCTGGCAAAAGGTAAATCACATTGCTTACGTAAGTCTTGACTTAGTCATAGTTGATTTGTTCTTGCAGTTCTGAGATTCTAATAAATGAAGAAAAACATTTAAAAAATGTTTGTTTTGCAACAAGTGGGGAGCACTTATGCCTAGGTCTGAACATGTATTTTGTAGTTGGCTGAGCATAATTGATAGATACTAATGAGCTTATGGTGAAAATTAGGGACACCACTCCACCAGCAGAAACATCGACCCAGATCTGGTAAAAAAAAAGTAAAAAATGCCAGAGAATAACCTGTCTCTGTTACCCACCAAAACAAATTGAATCAGGTGTAAAAGGTAAAAAGCAATGAAATCTTTATGAATGAATCACTTAAAATCAGCTAGGACACCAGGTGTTCGCAAAAGAGGGTCCTGCCCTAAAGATAGCACTCACCCCTTAACTTGCGCAAATAAATGTTTGTTTCTTGAAGCTTAAACAAGCGAAACTATTATGTGCTAGTCAAGAAAATCAAGTGCCATGATAGCCCATTTACTGATTTATTGAAACTAAAAATGATGTGCTAATTGTGAACTACATCTGATGTGTAAAAGTGCAGAGATTCTGCTGGAAATGATTTTAATGAGATCGTTGTCTGTGTTCATTAATTAAGATCACAACCCAGTCAAAAGCAGCTATGTAACTTCCTCAATATCTTCCTTAACACCAAAGAGACCACAATCAATTCTGTTGTGTTTGGTACTAAACTCAATTTAGGATGTTAGATCTGCAAGTATATTGCAAATTGCATTGTATTTATCAGCACCCCCCTGGAACATGTCTCAATCTATGCAATTGGTTGTTGAATACCAGTTCTTACCCAGGTCTTCACAGGGGAAGCCAAGCATTGGTTGCAGAAGGCCAGTTCTAACTCGAGTCTACACTGAGGGAGACAATCATTGGTTGCTGCAGGCCAATTCTAACCCAGGTCTTCACAGGGGGAGCCAAGCATTGGTTGCAGAAGGCCAGTTCTAACTCGAGTCTACACTGAGGGAGACAATCATTGGTTGCTGCAGGCCAATTCTAACCCAGGTCTTCACAGGGGGAGCCAAGCATTGGTTGCTACAGACCAGTTCTAACCCAGGTCTTCACAGGGGGAGCCAAGCATTGGTTGCTACAGACCAATTCTAACCCAGGTCTTCACAGGGGGAGCCAAGCATTGGTTGCAGAAGGCCAGTTCTAACTCGAGTCTACACAGAGGGAGACAATCATTGGTTGCTACAGACCAATTTTAACCCAGGTCTTCACAGGGGGAGCCAAGCATTGGTTGAAGAAGGCCAGTTCAAACTCGAGTCTACACAGAGGAAGACAAGCATTGGTTGCTACAGACCAATTCTAACCCAGGTCTTCACAGGGGAAGCCAAGCATTGGTTGCAGAAGGCCAGTTCAAACTCGAGTCTACACAGAGGGAGACAATTATAACCCTCATCATGAGGGGTCCATTCTAGAAATGAACACGAGAACAACACGATTTCTTGTCTTTTTATTCCCTTTTGAATTACACATAAGGGTGGCGCCCACCCTATTCACCATGAGTCTCCACCAGTTCTCTAAGTTGTGCCAGAAGGCCTGAAACACAAGGAGAATCAGTATTACAACCTATACAATCATAATCTTTGCCATTGCAACACTGAATTTTAACGCAACTGAAATGGCAATAATGGATGTCTATGCAACAATGAAATATAAAGCAACAGTACAATACTAAAAGCAGAGAAAAATCTATGACAACAACGCTGGTTGAGGCCGGTCTCCCCCCATCCAAATTGAGTGAGTGAGTGAGTTGGGTTTAACACCAACATTAACAGTGTCTGTCTGCCGACAAGTCCTTGTCTTAGCCTCTTGATGCCGGGTGCCAGGTTACAAGTACTAGGGGATCAAGCAACTGAACTTCAGCTCTCAAAGGAAAACACAGAAAAACTTACTTGGCCCATTCTACATTGAGGATAAGATGATCATAGCCAAATCCGGACACCCCAGCAATAGCCCGTGCAGCATCTTCGCGTCTATGAAAGTTGATGAAGGCAAATCCCTGAAAATACAGGCAAGAAAACATCAATTATAACATAAAAAATGTGTAAATGATAAACTGATAAACAAGATGTCTTTCATTGAAGACATTTCTTCAATGATTTAGGAAGGAGTGAGTGTTTGCTTGCTTATTGTTAAACGCTGCACTATTCCAGCTATATGAGGTCTGTAAATAATCGAGTCTTGACCAGACAATCCAGTGATTGACATCATGAGCATCAATTGTGATACAATGACATACATCAACCAATTTAGCGAGACTGACCCCCCGATACTGTTAGTAGCCTCTTACAACCATGGGTTACTAATGACCAATTCTAACCCAGATCTTCACGGGTCAAGTGAGTGAGTTTGGTATACCATTGCTTTGACCTGTATGTCTGTGTGTGTGTGGCTGCTTGTACAAGTCCGGACTGATGAATATTTATAGTTCTAGCTCACGGAGATACCATGACACAGTTAAACATGAATACCCAAATCAAACACAGTATACTGAGTCAAAGCCATTCAGTCCTTGTTTTAGCCCCTTAATGCCGAGCCCCAGACAAGGTAACATGAACAAGTACCATTTTTTAATTCTTTTGGTAAGACACGTCCGGGGACCAAACCCCAGACCTTCCGCGCTCACCTAGCAGATGCTCTACCACTAAACCATAACAAATACAATAACAAAGAATAACCTAATCGACACCCAGACTCTCATTTGTTTTTTTTTTGTTTGGGGGGGGTTGGTTTGTTTTGTTTGTTGTTGTTTAATGCCGCACTCAGCAATATTCCAGCTATAAGACAGCAGTCTGTCAATAGTCGAGTCTAGACCTGACAATCCAGTGATTGACATCATGAGCATCGACCTACGCAATTGGGACACGATGACATGCATTAACCAAGTCAGCGAGCGTGACTAACGACATACGTAGCATTAAATTGTAGGTCTACATAGGTTATTATTATCTATACACATACAGATAATTAATCTTATTATTATAGGTATATCGATACAAAAATTCCCAATGACACCCTTACAGTATCCACTTCTACATGTTCCCACGGCATGAAACAGCCTGATCAACACTGACGTGGCTGGGATTAACGTGGGGTTGATGTGACCTCCAATGATTATGAGATCAATCACTGTCTAGGACTATGTCCCTTGCCCTGGAGATTCAGCTTCTAGCACAACACTGTCAGATTATGGCTAGTTTCATCCTAGTTTGTCAGTCCCAGGCATGCCATTTGTAGTTTTAAATGCTTTTAGCAATATCCCCGCAATATCTGGGCATGAGACACCAGAATACGTTACACACATTGTGCCAAGCTCTGGCTTAGTATTGTCGCTGCAGGGAATCTGCAGAAAGGACTTCATGGATCTTGTATCTGATCAGTAATGTCTGACCTGTTAATAATCAATCTACGATTTTGTTGGTTTGTTGTTAACGCCGCACTCAGCAATATTCCAGCTATATGGCGGCAGTATCACTCTAAGAGATCCAATTTTATATATATACTGTAAAACGTGAAATTAATGTGTCTCCAAAAGAATGTGACCGCTGGCCCTAGCCAACAATGCGACTCATTACGAATGCGACACCCCCTCCTCTCAAGCTTCAGTGGATTTATATCTAAACAAAATGTCCTCTGTCAGGTCCGATCAACTCTCGATAACCTTGCCCGACTAGAACAGGATATAAAAACAGGACAGCTAAACAAGCAATACACCATAGGCATATTCCTCGACTTCTCTAAAGCTTTCGATATGGTATGGCACCACGGGCTAATACAAAAACTAAAAAAAATAGGACTAAAAGGCCAAATAATAAACTTCATCCAAGATTTCCTAAACAATCGCAAAATTACCGTGGGTATAGACCATACGCTATCGGACCAGTGTCCCCTAGAAAATGGCACTCCCCAGGGCAGCATCCTCAGCCCAACCCTCTTCAATATGATGATAAATGACCTATTCGAGGGCTTATCCCCTAAACTAAACACTTCAAAATTCGCGGATGACGGTGCCCTATGGATCCGCACAAAAAGCATTAAAATGGCAGAAAACTTAATCCAAAAATCTCTAAATAAAATACAACAATGGGCAGACAAATGGGGCTTCTCCCTTAACTCAGACAAAACAACAGGAGTAGTATTCAAACATAAAAACATGAAACCTGCCTACCCAATCCTCCAGCTAAACAACCAAACAATCAAATTCAAAAAAAAAAACCAAATTCTTAGGACTTATTTTCGATCAACACCTCACCTGGGAGGCTCACGTCCAAAACCTAAAAACTAGATGCAGCAAAGACCTTAACACATTAAGATGTCTCACCGGCTCTAACTGGGGAGCCTCAAAAGATACCCTCCTCTCACTATATACAACACTAATTAGATCAAAACTAGACTACGGCTGCGCCATATACAACACCCTAAACAACTCTCTATCTAAAAAACTTGACTCAATACAATACCAAGCCCTTAAACTAATTACACGCACCCAACATGGCACCTCCTACACCTCACTTCAGGCCCTTACAGGAGAAATGCCACTAAATCTACGCAGGGAACATCTAAGCCTTAATTTCTGGGCCGCGTCCCAAACAAACCCTCTCATCCAAAACCTATTTAACCAAAACATTAGCCCAAGAAACCAAGCTCTAGCTCGCAAACACCCCTTACTCACCCCAATATCCCAAAGAATAACTAACTACCTCAATGAACACCAAACTCAAAATCTTAAACAAAACTGCAAAAAAAATCAAATATCTTCACCCCTAAACTCAAAATACCCCAAATAGACACAATGCTAGCAAACCAAATAAATAAACAAACCGACCCAAACATAGCTAAAACCACCACACTTGCATACATACACGAAAATTGGCCAAATTGGTGTCACATATATACACTGACGGATCTTCAGACCCGACCTCCAACCACACAGGCTTCGGAGTCCATACCACACAACCAGTTATATCCACACAATCTTACCGACTCCCTAACAACCAATCTATATTCACAGCCGAACTTATGGGCATGGCCTCAGCCCTGCATAACCAACAATCTAAAAACAACACAAAAATCCTAATTCTCACCGACTCCCTTAGTGGACTACAAGCCCTCCAAAACAAAAATACCAAAAAGCGACCTAAATTAATAAACCAAATACTTAAAAGCTCCAACGACCTAACAAAAGCAGGCAAACAAATAACCTTCTTGTGGATCCCCGCCCACGTAGGAATTTACGGCAACGAAAGCGCCGATAAAGCAGCTAAATTATCTCTCAAAATACCAGAAACAAGTATTTGTCACAGAGTGACGAAATATCCCCCGCCTGTACACCATAGTACCAAATATGAAGACAATCCAGCGATTAGTTCTTGAGATATTGTGGCAACACCGTTTTCCAACTCCAAAAACAGATTTGCCTGCTGTGACCTTGAAAATGGGGTCAAGGTCACCAAATCTGACAGGTGTATGCGGTGTCTGTATATACACTATAGTTCCAAATATGAAGACAATCCAGCGATTAGTTCTTGAGATATCGCGGCCACACCGTTTTCTAACTCCAAAAGCAGATTTGCCTGCTGTGACCTTGACAATGGGGTCAAGGTCACCAAAACCGACTGGTGTCTGCGGTGTCTGTATATACACCATAGTTCCAAATATGAAGACAATCCAGTGTTTAGTTCTTGAGATTTGGCGGCAACACCGTTTTCCAACTCCAAAAGCAGATTTGCCTGCTGTGACCTTTAAAATGGGATCAAGGTCACCAAAACCGACTGGTGTCTGCGGAGTCTGTATATACACCATAGTTCCAAATATGAAGACAATCCAGTGTTTAGCTCTTGAGATATCGCGGCAACACCGTTTTCCAACTCTAAAAGCAGATTTGTCTGCTGTGACCTTGAAAATGGGATCAAGGTCACCAAAACCGACTGGTGTCTGCGGAGTCTGTATATACACCATAGTTCCAAATATGAAGACAATCCAGTGTTTAGTTCTTGAGATATCGCGGCAACACCGTTTTCCAACTCTAAAAGCAGATTTGTCTGCTGTGACCTTGAAAATGGGATCAAGGTCACCAAAACCGACTGGTGTCTGCGGAGTCTGTATATACACCATAGTTCCAAATATGAAGACAATCCAGAGTTTAGTTCTTGAGATATCGCGGCAACAAACAGGTGGGATGTACGGATGGACGTACGGACGTACAGACGTACGGACGGTCGTGAATACTATATCCCCCGCTTCGCGCTTTCGCGCGGCGGGGGATAATAAGCCTAAACCTACCCATCTCAAAATCAGAAATTAAAAGTGTAAACAAACAAAAAATAACCAAAAAATGGCATAATCAATATCAAAACTCAAATAGCCAAATCAAAAAAGTGCTCAGAAAACCACTAGCCAAACCAAAAATCCTACACCCCTCAAAAAAAATTGACAGATTAATTACAAAACTCCAAACAGGACACACGAACCTAAATAACCACCTAAAACAACTTAAAAGACACACCACAGGACACTGCCCCCACTGCAAACAACCCGAAACCACAGAACACGCACTCATCCACTGCACCCACTACCAAACACACAGAACCACACTACAAACCAACCTCAATCTAAATAAGGTTCCTACTCTAGATGAAATACTAAACCCTCAAAATAAACTAGAAAACTTCAAGGCCCTAGGCGTATTCCTAATCAAAACAGACCTAATTAAGCGCATCTAAAAACTAATTAATCTACCAATCCAAAATCCAATAAACATACATACACCCACCTCACCCGGCTCCCTTAGTTCCCTCCTCCACCCACCTCGGCATTTATTCCAAATTTAAAAATTTCAAAAAATCAATATAAGCAACCCCTAAAAGCTCCCTCTTGGGTTGCACACACCACTTTCACCCTTCTCGGAATACACTAAATGGTCTGGCCAGGCCCGTGTGCGAAATACGCTACAGTCGGAAAGCGCACGTTAAATCTTCTATATCAGTCAGTCAGTCTGTC